AAATTGCGTGGGGAATGATGGCGCCTTGTGGGTGTACGCCGGCAGTATTCCATTGGTGATATCCCCTCGCTGTTCCCAGTTTGTTGCTGCAGAGAGTTTGGGCGAGAGGGTAAGTTTTGCATGCTGAGTGGGCTCACAGGCAGGGAAGCAAATGAGGCGCCACCACAGCCCAGAGGTCGGGGACAAACCGAATTTCTGAAATTGTTTTTGTGCCTTGGCGTGGTGTTTTTCCCTTTGTTTTTTTGGGTGCCATCGTTTTTGGTTGGCGTGCGGCTCCAATGGGGGGTGCCGCATGCGCCGCTGAGAGCCTCGAGCGAACGCAGTTGGCGTCTCTCTTTTTGTTGGGTTGCCGTCCTGGGCGCATGCGCCTGTTCCGTCTTGTTTGGGCTGCACGCACTGACCGGGCAGTCTGAGGCTACGGCTGCGCTGGCGTCGCCCTCGCTTGTGAGCGGAACGAAGCAGCAGGAAAGGGGGCTGCATGCGTCTTTTTTTGTTTTTATTTTTTAAATTATTTTAGTTACGCCACGCCCCACTCCTGCTGCACTGCGCTGAGGGAGGTGGGGACGTTGGGATTTTTGTGGAGGTGGTGGGGGGGCGTGATGGGAGGTCCCGCCGGGATGCGCACTGCGTGTTGCTGCTGGCGGGATTTGAAGGGGCTGGGCGGGGGAGACGGTAAGCGAGGTGGTTATGAATTTTTTTTAATTTTTATTTTGATTTCTGCGGGGCGTCCCACACTGCGGACTCTCCGTGCGGGTGCGTGTGGGTGTTTCTTCGGGTCGCGCACAACAGTCGCTGCTACCGCCGCCTTCTTTGCGGCTGCCGTCTCTTGTGGGGGGCGGCGAGTGTGAGGTCATGCGGCCCACACCTTTACCGTTTCTGCCTCAGTTTTGGATTGTCACTGTTCTTTGCTCGATGCCCAACTGTGGGTGCGGGCGGTGCTCATCGTTTTTTTTTCCACCTCACTTTTCTCTCTCTTCCACACACACACACACGGAAGGAAAGAAACCAAACACCACCTGCCGCTGTGCGCTTTGAGGTCTCTGCAGTCACCACCACCACCAGCAACACACACACACACGCAACTGTCGCGGCCTGAGCGGATCCACCACAACGAGGGAAGAGAGTGTGAGTAAGCAGCGACACATGCCCAAGATGTCCTGGCATTTGTTTTCTTATTTGGTGCTGCTGCTGCTGTTTGTGCTCTTGACATGCTGTGGCAGTCAAGCTGCGGGGAGTGTGCCAGGGACGGCCGTTAATTTATTCACAGGGACGAAACCGATAACTGGTGCCAAATGGGAGGAAATGCAATGCGTCGAAGGGTCAGTTCGCTCGCTGCGTGTCCCCAGCCTTGTGGAGGTGGACGGTGCTGTGTTTGCCGTTGCTGAGGCCCAGTGCAAGAATGGAGTTAACAGCTTCACTGGCATCGTATCACAGCACCTCAAGAGAATTGGAACAGAACCGACTGAGATTCCGATGGGTGCAGGCACGGGTTCCTTTCACACGCAGCTGCTGAAGGAAGGTGGTAACGAAATGAGGGACACTGTGCGACCAACGACAATTGTGAGTGGCAACAATGTCTATATGCTGCTGGGAAGCTGCAGCCGTGCAACACCGGAGAGCAAAGAGGCTGATCAAAGTGGATGTAAGCTTTTGCTGGTGAAGGGGAGTGTGACTGAGAGTGAAGAGAAGAAAGTCCAGTGGAACGAGACCCATGCAATGCATCCTAAACCTAGAGTTCGTCGATCCTTCACTCATTTTTCTGCTGTCGGAGGGTCGGGTACTGTGATGAGTGACGGCAGACTTGTGTTTCCCGCGCAGGCCACAAAGAATGGAAAGAACGTTTTGCTGATCCTACACTTCACCCCATCAGAGAATAAATGGGAGCCTTTGCTCGATACGGTGGGTGAGGGTTGCCACAATCCATCGATTGTGGAGTGGGGCGAAGTCGATGACCGACGCATCTTTATGATGGCTCCCTGCACGGATGGCTCGTATTACGTATACAGGACTATTACGTCCTTGAACTATTGGTATGACAGTGCGCCAATTACTCAACTATGGGGTAATTCACGTGATAGAAAAGGGGAGGGCGCACGAAGTAGCTTCATCACCGCAACCATCGATGGAAAGAAGGTGATGCTGCTCACCACGCCGGTGTATTCTGAGGAGAAGGGAGAGGATCGGCTGCATCTTTGGATGACAGACAATGCCCGTGTGCACGACGTTGGGCCGGTGTCTCGCGAAGGTGATGACGCCGCCGCCAGCTCCCTGCTGTACAGAGCTGACAAGAAGGAGTTGATTTTACTGTACGAGAAGAAGAAGAGCGGAGATTCATACAGTCTTGTCGCCGTGAGCCTGACTGAGCAGCTGGAGCGGATAAAGAGCGTGGTGAAGGCCTGGGAAGATATGGACACCGCACTGAAAAACTGCGTTTCCATTGGCACTGTTGACCCGCGGATAAAGAATGTGTGTAAAGTGCCCATTCCCACCAAAGGGTTGGCTGGCTTTTGGTCCAACAGTTTGGAGGGGAATTTATGGAAAGACGAGTACCTCGGAGTGAACACAATTGTGCATGGTGGGAATGTGGCAGGCACGGAGGGGGGCGTGAGGTTCCGAGGCGCAGCAGCGCGGGCGGAGTGGCCGGTGGGCAACAAGGGGCAGTTCCAGCCGTACTACTTTGTGAACAATGACTTCACTCTTGTGGCGACGGTGATGATTAACGCGGTGCCGGAGACAGACAGTCCTGTTCCTTTGATGGGTGTGAGGATGAACGACAATGCCAATACTGTGATTGTTGGTCTCTTCTACACGAAGGACAAGAAGTGGAGAGTGACTGTCAACGGAAAGTCTCGGGGGTTGTCAGATAAAGATGGTACGTGGCAGCCTGGCACAACGTATCAAGTGGTACTGAAAAGGCATGGTGAATCGTTGTATGTGTACGTTGACAATAATAAGCTTATTAAGGAGGAAGTTCCGCCCAGTGCGTACACCTCATACGATGTCTCGGACTTCTACGTTGGCGGCGACGGTGCGAAGGGGACAGGCGAGGTTGACGTGACGGTGGGCAATGTCCTGCTGTACAACGAGGCACTTGATGATAATAGGCTCACGAGCCTCAGTGTCAGCAAAGTCTCACTTCCAACACCGGCTGCTGAGGGGCCACTCACAACGCTGGGGAATGATGGGGAGATTGCCTCCAAGCTCAAACCTAGAGAAAAGAGGATTGGTGACGGTTTGAATTCTAAGGGGCCTCTACCAGAGGAGGCCCATAAAGGCAGTCACGGTGCTGGTGAGGAGTCGGTGTCTTCGCCAGCTTCGTCATCGCCAGCTTCATCATCGCCAGCTTCATCATCGCCAGCTTCGTCATCGCCAGCTTCGTCATCGCCAGCTTCATCATCGCCAGCTTCATCATCGCCAGCTTCGTCATCGCCAGCTTCATCATCGCCAGCTTCATCATCGCCAGCTTCATCATCGCCAGCTTCATCATCGCCAGCTTCATCATCGCCAGCTTCATC